AAAGTTACACAGATAGTAAAGGCAGAGTGGGAATCTCAGTATCTTGGAGTGCTGTCTTCTTTCAGCCTGTTGAGAAAAGATCAACCATGGTAACAGCAGAAGATGAAGTGGCAGCTCCCCACACGCCTGATAAACATTGAGATGTCACAAGGAATAAATGGCTCACAAATGATCCAATGTCTCCCATCAGAATAGGTCCTGGTATTTCCACAAGTTCTATGGGCCACAGTGTGTTTTCATGAGCTTCTCTGGTCCTTTCAGCAACCTGTGGGACTAGCAGCCCGGCAATTTGAATCTCCATCTTACAGATGAGAAAAACAAACATCAGAGAGATAAAATGATCCACTCATGGTCACACAACTGGGTAGAGACAGATTGAGGACTTAAATACAGATCTTCTGTTCCTGACCATACCAGTACATTTCCACTTTCCCAACCACACCGCAGCCTGTTCATAATATGAAGACCACCTGAAAGACAGAGCTGAATTAATTAAACTTGCCAGTAAAGGGAGACATTTAATTGGAAGCACAGTCACCTCCAACTGCACTGAGCACCTCTTAGACACACTGTGTGTCCATCAGTTGAAGCAGGAGAAGACCCTGACTGGCACGGATAGAAACGTGCTGCATTATATTCTCTGCATTCTGACCTGTCCAAGCTTATAGCCAGCTTATTTTGGTTTTATAGTCCCTAATAGGGTTTCAACTAGAAAAAAATTTCTCAAGGACTTTGATTGAAAATAGCATGTGTTCTGTCGTACTGCTTTGGATACTGATTCCCAAGAACAAGGCTCCTTGCTTTTATATCCTTGAAGCTCTTGAACAAGCAGCTTTTCTCGGTTTACAGTGACATTCACCAGCAGACACAGGTAAAGAGACAGAGCTGAGAAAACCTGAGTTGTCTGGGACACTGTCTGAGAGGTCCACTGTTAGCACGAAATTTGAAGTAACAGCATTCTGTTTCCCCCCACCCTTTAAAATAGCCATGTGAATTAACTGCAAAGCAAATCTGAATTTGTTTCAATATAAAAATAATGTAGTCATGGTGTCTTCACATAAAGCAGCTGTTCCAGGACAAAGGTGTGTATTTTAGCTGGTAGTTTCCCCAATAGTCGCCACACGCAGTCTCTTCTGAGCTCTAGGTGGAAGAATTAAGTTGGTGAAGTTTGCTTGGTTTTGCACCTTCCTCTCCCTACCTGACCTGTGACTTCCCCAGCCTCCTCTCTGCTGCACTGGGCTCAGGGTGCTCCCCTACCCTGTGCAGCAGCATCTACTGTTCCAGAGCCTCATCTCCTGTCACCAACATGTGTCAGTTCTGTCTCCCCTGATGATTATGTCAAATCACCATCTAATTATCCCTCTTAAGTGAAAAACTTGTATTTTCACATGGGATTTCAGGCCATGTGGCAGAATTACAATGAGAGATATTTTGAAGCAAGACAAACCTTGTGGCATCCCTCAACTCACCCCATGACACCAACTGCCTCGGCAGGGACACTGCTCTTTCAAATTCCAAAGTCAGGAGCGTGTTTGGTGACATCATTGTAGCAGAAAGCCGTGACGTTGTAGATGCTATTTACTCAAATCGCTTTTCCAGGCTTTCACCACAGGGTTGCTTTTAGAGCTGTACTGGATAGGGTTTAATCTCCAAATCTGATGGGGGGATATGACAACAATGACAGCAGAATTCTAAGAAAGGTGGATCTAGTTCATATTGGTCTCCAGGTTCCTAGGAGACCAGAAAATAATGGCTATAGTACTTGATTTACCCTTTGAGAAAACCATTGCTCACTGAAGTTTGACTCTGCTTCTACTACGTCCTGCTAAAACTCTCAGGACCTACTCCCCGTTGAGTACAAGTGTTAATTACATTTCCAAAGCTGTAAACACAACACAATGTTCTTGCAAGACAGTGGGAGGATGCGTAAGTGTTTGGAGATGCTTTCTGCTCTGGCTTTGCTCATGCATCCATTTCCGCCTACATGGTGCCACACAGATTATACCTTTGGGGTTCTCTGGGGTGCTTTCTTTGTGCATCCGTGTGTGCATGCACAGGCATGTGTAGGTGTATGTACAGTGGGGGAAATCATAATCTTTTATTTGTTAATCTGCAAGTTAATCTGAAGATTCAGAAAGTTGCTATGTAGATGCCATTTGGGAAATGAAAATCTTTGATTTGCTTTTAAGATAGTAATATAATCATGGGGCATCAATCTACTACATAGAGTAGACATACTTTTGTGGTGCTAGCAGAGCCCATGCACCGTCTTGGAAATATCTGCTTCCTATCTACAGACACCATTTCATAATATGATGCTGTGATCGCTATGGCCGCTATCCCTCCAGCCACAGCTAATGGGACCAAGAGTAGCAAATTCATTGTCCAGGAGTAGCAAATTCAAACCATTCCTTGCCTCTTCTCAGGTTGCAGGCAGTCCTTGGTGTTCTTCGGTTTGTGGCTGTGTCACTCCAGTATCTGCCTCTGTCATCAGATGCCTCCCTCCCCTGTGTGTCTGTATGTGTCCTCTCTCCTCCTCCTCCTTCTTTTTTTTTTTTTTTTTTTTTTCAGAGACAGGGTCTCATTCTGTCACCCAGTCTGGAGTGCGTTGTGAGTCATAGCTCACTGCAGCCTCGAACTCCTGGGCTCAAGCATCCTCCCACTTCAGCCTCCAAAGTAGCTGGGACTACAGGTGCACGCCACTATAAGAACGCCAGTCATTGGATTGAGGGCCCCCTACTCCAATATGGCCTTATCTTGATTTAAGTAATTGTATCTGTGAAGATGCTATTTCCATGTCAAGTTATATTCAAAGATTCCAGGTAAACATGAATATTTGGGTGACACTATTCATTCCACCACAGGAGGTGATGTGTGCAGGGGAGTGGTGGTCTAATTGCCTGAATGAAGTCTGTCAATCCCCATCACTTTTAATGAGGTCAGTAGTCCCTGAAAGGGGATTTTAAGGAAACTTTGGGAGCAAAAGATCTTCGTAGATGTTGTAGGATAGAATGCTCCTCTGGGCATGGTGAGCCTTGATAGAAAAAGTATTTTAATAAAAGAGACAGAAGTTCGTTTGTGAAAATTGGAAAGGCACTGGCTGTACACCCTGCAGAGCCCGGAAACACGAACCTCCTCCTCACCCTCTTTTTTATGTTCTTAATAAACAGCTCTGACTCAAAGGAAGAATACACTGCCAGCTAGGGACCATGTTTACACTGAAGTCCACATGGGAGTAACAGAAACCTGCTGGGAAGCTTTTGTTGGGGGTGGTGTTTTTTAATTTTGTTAATAATAAGGGCTATTATACATATGACAAAATTATTGTCGAATTGGGGCCTATTGTCTTGGTCTGTGTTGAACATATAGGCTCAACATTTTGGAGCAGAATGGTTGACAAAGGGATGTCAGCAGGCAGTGCAGAAAAGATTGTCTTGGGGAGAATATTTAAGTGACATTTATTCATTCAACAAACATTATGTGGAATGCACGGTATTAGATTGTGTATCTCCCCTTCAATATAACTCACATATCATACATAGGCATAATATCTTATGGCTATTTACTCACGAATATGAGTAAGCCCATGTGAGGATGACATAGCGCAGCTTCAAGCACTGAGTTAACTGAAGCATGGGAAGTTGATAGGAAACGAGGCATCGTGCCTGGAGTGAAATGGAACAGGTCAGGATTGCATGAGGCTCAGAGTCAGCCAAGATCAGGATGAAGTCTAGGAAAGATGGTATTTAAATCTACTAATCTAAGATGATTCCTCAGCCAGGGTCCCACTAGGTGTTGTGGAAAGGTCAATATGAAAGAAACAGTATACTTTGTCAGATATTCAGGAATAGGGGTTGCTTAATGAGTTTATGTGAAAAACAACCGATAAAAGGAGAAAAGTTGAAACGTCTTCCAATAAGACATTAATTTTACACATTAATCTCAATAGTTGTGCTTCTGAACGAGTTGCTAGGTAACGAGACTTTCATCTCAAAAGTGTATCCTTTGATAAAAGGCCAGGGAAGCTCACAGAGGTCAGGGGGTTTCTTTATCTTCATAGGTACCTGAAAGAATCCACTCATTTGGCCATATTTTTGGGGTGACTACAGGAGCAAGGCCCCAGTTGAATGGAAAGTCGTGGTGTTTTGGGGCCAAAAGAGCTTGCACAGAATGTTTCATCTGTCCTCTTTATTTTTCGGCTGAAAAAATGCCCAGAATGCCAAAGGCCCGGCTTAAGACCACTGCTGGCCAGGGGAACCAGCTCTTCTGAGCCCTCTGATCCTTTTCTACAAGGCTGTTTTGCCACTCCTGTGCTCTCACCACTGGGCACATCCTGGGATAGATGATCCCCAGTGTGAGATGGGACCTGGTGGGATGTGTTTGGGTCATGGGAGTGGATCCCTCATGATCAGCTTGGTGCCCCCCCTACAGTAATGACTGACTTCTTGTTCCATGAGTTCACTTAAGATCTGATTGTTAAAGAGAGCCTGGCACCTCCTTCCCCACTATGTCTTATTTCTCTTTTGTCATGTGATCTGCAGACATCAGGTGCCCTTCCCCTTCTACCATGAGTGGAAGCTTCCTGAAGCCCTCACCAAAAGCAGATGCTAGCACCATGCTTTTTACAATCTGCAGAACCATAAGCCAAATAAACCATTTTTATTTTTATTTTTTTCAGATGGAATCTCACTCTGTTACCCAGGCTGGAGTGCCATGGCATGATCTTGGCTCACTACAACCTCTGCCTCCTGGTTTCAAGCAATTCTTGTGCCTCAGCCTCCTGAGTAGCTGAGATTACAGGTGCATGCCACCACGCCCAGCTAATTTTTGTATTTTTAGTAGAGATGAGGTTTCACCATATTGGTCAGGTTGGTCTTGAACTCCTGACCTCAGGTGATTCACCCTCCTCAGCCTCTCAAAGTGCTGGGATTACAGGCATGACCTACCATGCCTGGCCCTCTTTTCTTTTTCTTCTTTTTTTTTTTTTGAAAGAAAATTTGTATTGTTTTAATTATTTTTATGTACAGAAAACTCAACAGTGTACATTTAACCCAGTTTAGTGGCAAGTTCTTTAGCCTTTGCCTTTTGAAGCTTGGCGATGTGAGCCACAAACTTGGGATCCAGGACATTGCCTCCCCAGTGACCATGGATCTCATTGTATCTGTCGTTGTAATTTGTCCTGATAGCTTCCACCAGCTTAGCCAAAGCACCTCTGTCTTCCGAGTTAACCTGTGTGAAGGCGACAGTGGCGCAGGTCTTCCTGTGGACTAGACGTCCCAGTCTTGCCTTCCCCTTGATAATGCAGTAAGGGACTCCCATTTTACGACACAGGGCAGGCAAGCAGACAACCAGCGTGATGGGATCCACAGCCTGTGCAATCACCACCAGCTGAGCTTTCTTGTTCTCCATCAAGGTGGTGACAGTGTTAACTCCTGCCCAAAAGACAGGTGGTCTCTTAGTGGGGACATCCCCTTCGCCAGCAGCTTTCTTCTCAGCCCGGGCCAACAGCCTTTGCTTCTTCTCTTGCTTTGTCTCTGGTCTGTACTTGTGGGCCAGCTTAAGTAGCTGAGTAGCCGTTTGGCGGTCCAGGGCCTGGGTGAACTGGTTAATTGCAGGAGGCACTTTCAGCTGCTTATAGAAGATGGCTCTCTGCTGCTGCAACCTGATATGGCGAGGCCCTTTCAGAAAGCAGGCGAGGTCTCTTTTGGGCTGGATGTGCTGTCAATGCCAAAATTCTTAGGCCTTTCCTCAGACGGGATTCAGCACCTTCTTGGCCTCCTGCTTCTTCGCGACAACAGGGTCTGGAGCTACCTTCTTCCCCTTGGCCTTCTTTCTTTTCAGCATCTTGGGCGGCAGGAGGAAAGAACCTTTTTTCTGTATAAATTACTCAGCCTCAGGTATTTCTTTGTAGGAATGTAAAACAGACTAAGACAGGGTGCTTGTTAGAAACACAAATTCATGGGCCCCATACCCAGCTCTACTGAATCAGATCCTGAAGAAGGATCCCAGGAATAAATATTTTAGACACTCTGTAGTTGAGTCTTTTTTTTTGAAGAGAGAGAGTTTTGCCCCGTCTCCCAGGTTGGAGTACAGTGGTGCAATCATCATACTTGCTGAACCTTCACACTCCTGGCCTCAAGCAATCCTCACACCTCAACCTCCCACGTAGCTGGGACTACAGGCATGCGCCACTCATGCTCTGCTAATTTTTTAAATACAATTTTTATGGAGACGGGATCTCCCTATGTTGCCCAGGCTGGTCGTAAACTCCTAGCTCCAAGTGATCCTCTGACCTTAGCCTCCCAAAGTGCTGGGATTACAGGCATGAGCCACTGCACCTGCCTATAGTTGACTTTTATGCTTATTAAGATGTTGGAACTAGCCAGGCGCAGTGGCTCACGCCTATAATCCCAGCACTTTGGGAGGCCGAGGTCAAGAGATCGAGACCATCCTGGCCAACATGGTCAAACCCCGTCTCTACTAAAAATACAAAGATTAGCTGGCTGTGGTGGCGCATGCCCATGCCTGTGTCCCAGCTGCTCGGGAGGCTGAGGGGAAAGAATCGCTTGAACCCAGGAGGCGAGGTTGCAGTGAGCCGAGATCGCGCCACTCTACTCTAGCCTAGCGTCAGAGCAAGACTCAGTCTCAAAAAAAAAAAAAAGAAAAAAGATGTTGGAACTGTTTAAAGAAGGAACATTGACTCATAGCTGAGTAATCACCATGGCAACCAAAGAATCCATCACCTGAACCATATTCCAAACCATTTTATGTGTACCATCTTCAACTTTAAATGATAGATTAGAGAGAAAGAAACCTATAAAGAGCTGGTCAGAAAGTCATCATTTATTCATTAACACAACCTCAGGTCCAGAAACAGTCGGACATGACAACTTTTCTATCTCAGTTATGATCCCTTCCAGACAACGGAGTGATGAGGTCATGGATCTCCTTCAACAGACCAGAGATGTGCTTGTCCCAGAGTGGCCTCGTCGGGGACGCTCTGTCATTCTGCCAGCTTTGCCAATGTGAGATATGTGGGGTGACCCCGCCAAGGGAACTGCTGTGAGCTAATTTTATCCCCATCCCTCACCCCATCAAGCACAAGGATCTATGAATCAGACAGCAAATCCAAGAAAGAAAAAAAAAAGGCATTTGGAATAATTTTAGGAAGAGGGATGGGACACTTTTAGAACTCCAATATCATGAGAAAGAAGGAGAAAGGGAGAGAATATGAATTTTCCATCTTCTATTTTCTAAGACTGTCTGCAATTCGCTCTTGATAAATCAGTTTGGAATAAAGCTCAGGTGACAGGCCTTTGGTTGCCATGGCAATTACTCAGCTGCGCGCAGCAGCCTCATGTGTCTCTAATTTTCCTACAGAAGCACACTCAAGGTCAGCAGAGGATATGAAATGCTCATCCCAGGCTCCTGGGAACAAAGTTGTACTGAAGCAGGAGGATCACTTGAGCCTGTGAGGTGGAGGTTGCAGTAAGCTGAAATTGACCAACATTTCTTTAAAATGTATTCCATTTCTTAAAATAGTAGCGATTGTTTTAACATAAAATGAGGTAAATTTGAACTCTGGTGTGCAGAAAATATAATAATTTATGTTTGCATAACTTAACTGTGATTTTTCCCTTTATTCCAGTGAGCTAGTGGAGAGTTAAGTCAGTCTTTAGAGATCACTAATTTTTTGTTTGTTTTGTTTTTGAGACAGGTTCAGATGGGGAAGCACTGGAGAGTTTTGGTTAGGAACATAATCTGAATCAGGTTTTAAAAGGATCACTGTGGCAGTTGTGATGACAATAGACCATAAGGGACAAGAGTGGAAACAGGAAGACGTCACAGATAAGACCAGATCAAACTAAAAATTTTAAGTTTATTATCATACAATAAGAAAAAGTACAGATCAAAACACAGGAGACTTGGAACCAGGTGATAAGAAGCTGGCCTTATGACAGAGAGCACAGTTTGTAAAGCATAAGAGAAGAGGTATGTTGATCTTTCCTGTGATTGGCTGTTGTACATTATGATTCTTTTAGGACAAAGCTCTCTATGCTGATTTGTCTACAGTTGATTGGTTTAATTTTAATGAATCGTGCTGACAAGAATGTAAACATGAGGTTTTGTGTTTATGACTGGAGGAAGGGTTTCAGGATAATCAGAATGACTTGTTTTGACTATGCAGCTGAGGGTGGTTGGCCTTGGGGTATACATAAAAGGTGGCCTCTGTTTTTCTTTTTCTTAACCAGAAAGAAGTCAGAAAAAAGTTGCAGCAACTCAGATGAGAGTTGATCTGGAAGTGATAAGAAGTGGCTGGATGCCTAGGTTAAGGGTGATAACTCTCCTCTATCTGCTTTTTGATTATGTTGGTGATGTTTCTTCTTTTCTCCATTGCTAGAGTCAGTTGTCACAAACTTGGGTTTTATAACATGTGACAGGTTTTCCAGGAGCTCTGCTTCATGACAAGCAGAGCACCCTTCAGGGATGTTGCAGACAATCATTTGTGTGGTAGCACTTCCTGGTAACATGAGTCATTTAAAAAATGGCTATCTAGTAACTCAGTTTTGCAAATGGCCTCAATTTGATCCAGATAATCTAAACGTTATTAAATCCTGGAGTATGCATCCCATCACATGCTGCACCAATTAAGCATTTTTAAAAATTTACTTCTAAGGTCTGTAGCGATTTGTCTCTCCTAACTGCAACATGGCAGTCCAGTGTGTATGTCTCAGAACAACCTATGACTTTTGAATTAGAGCTCAGCTATTTCCTGGGCATATGTTTTCATTAGTTCTAGCCAATGACCTGGCTATCATGCCCTGGTTTAAACTAGAGGAATACTGGAACCAGAATGGGGTGTGGAGGGGCTGGCATCTTCCTATTATTCTAGCTTTTTATTAACATTCATCCTGAATATAGGCTTTTTTTTTTTCAGCCCGAGAGCCATTTAAAGTGTAGTTGCAATTGCTATATACTTGGGAGAAAGCTTACCTCTTTATTTCCACTCCTACATCAGATTCTTCCAGCAACAACTAAATATCTTAGATATGTTGTTTTAGGTTTCATTTTTTAATTACTTTAGTTTTTTAGGTGCTGAGATCATGGTTTCTGGTTGCAAACAATAGAAATCCAGTCTGGCTAATCTGAGTGGAAATTGAATATATCAAAAGAATGTGAGATAGACCACAGAAATGATTAAATGTCTGGATACCCAGACTCAAAGGACAGGTGTATACATTAGTGACCCGAGTGAAAAAAAAGTATCAATGTTTGCATGTTTTGTTCATTTCTACATCCTAAGTATACTTCTCTATGCCTGGCACATGATAGCTGTATGATATGTGAGTGAACGAATGAGTGAATGAATGAGTAGGTTCACAGACTTCCTCCAATTTCAAGCCTGCTAATTAGGATAATGTCCTTCCTCCTGAAGAGGGAGGATTCTTTCTTCTTGGGAGAGAGGCTAAGTCCATCTGAATGAGAGAGCAGAGAGGGAAGGGAGAGGAAGGAGAAATGGAATAGCTGGGGTTGAGGGCAATTTGAGACAGCTGAAGTGGGGCCGAGGGAAGTGTACACCAGAGGAAAGGGAATCAAAATACACATCGCTCATTGAGATTACCTGCATTTTGGGTGCCTTTTATGTCCTTTGAGAGCTTGAGGAAGGAATGGCTCTCTTTGTACTTACTTGGTGTTATTGAATTGTGCTTTCTGAATGTCACCACTTTGAGATTGAACCACTTGGATTTCTCACTTTGAGTAGGATACACATAAAACCCAATTGTCATCTTCCTCATGAAAGAGCTCCTTGTTTTATTGCAACACAAGCCATCCCCTTAGTTTCAGAAGCTTTAAACTTTGAATTCATCCTACATTCTTTATCTTTCTTTGACCCCAATGGCCAATCAGTCACCAAATTTTTCTACTGGTTATTTATGACATCTCTTGGCCCCTTATTTGTCATCATTGTGCCATCTTTGGTTAGAGCCTAGTGACATGTCCTTAGAGAGAAATATGTTGAACTCCTAATTAGTCTCTGTGACTCTAGTTTCTCCTTACCCGATGCATCGTACTTGATACTTGCCACATTCTTACGACCTGGTTGCAGCAGATCCAATATAAGATTCGCGGCTGGCCGAGAAGTGCCCCCCTCCTTCCATCAGCCGACTCGGTCTCCACAGGTCAGTCTTCGTACATCATGCCCCCATGTCAGTATGCTTCCTTTTGCCTTTGATGAAAACCTTTCAGTTGCACCTCATTCCCCGCAGGAATAAGTTCCCACTTTTTAGCATGGCATAGCACGATGGCTTTCCTGACCTGTCCCTGCCTACTTTTGGTCTCTTCCCAAAGTGTAAAGTGGTTGTATTCCTCAATGCCAATCACACATGCCTTTCTACTCTCTCAGGCTAGAATGCCAGTCCCATTTTCCTTCTTTACAAACCTCTCTCTATTCTTTATGATTTAATTCTTTTTTTTTTTAAATAACTATTGACACCTAATGTATGTCACACACTGTCCTGGATGCAGTGAACAGGTCAGACAAGGTTTCTGCTCATGTATCTTACCTTCCAGAAGGAGAAGACCATCAATTAATGGGAAACAAATAGATAAGGTCACTACTGGTAATGGTAAATACAATCAAAGAACCAAAACAAGGCATTGTGCTAGAGAGCAGAGGGCCAGGAGTGGCTATTGACCCTGGTGTATTAGACCGTGCTTGCACTGTTTTAAAGAAATACCCAAGACTGGGTAATTTATAAAGAAAAGAAGTATAATTGACTCACGATTCTACAGGTTTTACAGGAAGCATGATGCTAGCACTGCCTGGCTTTTGGGGAGGCCTC